GCTCGACAGTGCGACGCTCGACAGTGCGACACTCGACAGTACGACACATTCCACCCGCTTGGCCCCCAAAGCAGATTCCGTCGCGCATCGCCGCTTCCCGCCCCTCTGTCTCTCTCTCTCCCTCTCTCTCCAGCAGCCCATTGTTTATCCCAACCGCTCCCGTGGCACCGTGGCCGGGGTACAACGCGCGGCTAGGCGAGGACGGGATGATCGACAAGGTGCAGCCAACTCGAGGCCATGCCGCCACGCACTTGCACCCGCACTGAGGCTTGTGTGCTGGGCCAGTTGGTATGCAGGCTTTGCTAGTCGAGTGTGCCAACGGCTTGCCTTCTCTCCATCACCTCTGTGCTCGTCGTTCGTCCCATCCCCACGCTCATATCATCTTTTCTCCTTGACGAACGCGACGATTCTTCAGGCTCGTTTTGCAGCTTCCAACAGCGTACCAGCCATTACGCGACAGCAGCGCGCATTGTTACAGGATGCCGCGCATCCCCGTGCGCGTGGAGCCGTACAGCTCGCCATCACGCCAGCACAGGCACTACAAGAACAAGCGCGACCAGGTGCTGCGTGCGCTCGGCAAGGCGGCGTACATCAATGGATCCCACTTTGCCATCATGTGGGTCAGCGCCCGTGGCGATGTAGAGACGTACGCGTCCGAAGCGCTCCAGAGCCGATTGGACGACTGGTTTGTTGCAGGCGGCATCGCCGAAGAGGCCAAGGAACTCGTCAAGGTCGCCGGAGGTAAACCGTCCTCCAAGGTGTTTGACGATTCGGACGAGGACGAGGAGAATGAGGACTCGAACGAGGATCCGTTTTTGGACAGTCAGGTGGGGGCAAAGAGGAAGGTGCTTGCGCCGCTCAATACCGCCGCTGCCAATCAGCACTTTTTGCGAAGTCGAAGCTGGAACGACGAGGCGCCCAAGTCGGCACCACTTTTCCCCACCTCGAGTGCAGGGTTTGTCGACGAGCCGCCTAGGACGTCCACCCCGATCATGTCGGCTTCCTCGCGCATGCTCGCGCGCAACTCGATCAGCGGTGGAGTCGGGACGGCTGCCGGTACGCCTACGGTGGATATCTCGCTCGCGGACGAAGCGGCACGCACCGCCTTCCTCGAGCTGCGGTTCGGGCAGCTCCAACAGGGCGTGTGCAAGACCGTCGCCAAGGCGTGGATCAAGATCATCGAACCAAAGAAGCAGACGCGGTGCCCGTACAACAAGGGCGAGCAGGGCAAGCCCGACTGGTGGCCCGCCGGCGTGCGCCACAAGGAACCCGACCACCTCATGAAGCCAGAACGCCACGCGCTGCTGCTCACCATCCTGCGCAGTCCCAAAGTCCAAGTCGCCAGGCTCCAGCTCGCTACCGCCGAGGTCGTGGCACTCATCAAGGCGGATAAGGTCAGTCTGCTCATGGACGTGTACAGGATTGCACGCGAGGAGGAGAAGATTCGAGAAAAGGGCGCCGACAAGGATACGCCGCTCACCGTCGGGGTTAGTACGCTGGATGGATGGTGTAGCAGCGATAGTGCGCCTACTACGCATGGGAGACAGATTGCAAGGTCCGCCACACCCGAGGTGGCAGAGAGGAAGAAACGCCCCGCACCGGCCATGGACAAGGGTAAAGGCGGAGGGGGCAAGAGAAGGAGCATTGCGGCGCCTACGAGTGGCGAGATTCGACCCAGGCATTTGGCGCCGCAAGAAGCAGGCGTGGTGGGGCTCGGGCTGATGGCGAGGAGCAACTCGCTTTCAGCTATGCCGACGCCAGCGGGCAGTGCAGAAACGAGTCCGTGGCCGGCGAGCTATGCGACTTTTGCCCACGCGCATGGCTTGGTCACCCCGCTTACGGCGAGTGCCACGCTCGATCCGGCCTTCAGCGCCATGGCCCACCCTCCACCGCCCGAAGGAACATTCTACTATCCCCCGCCGCCTGCACAGGCGTTCTACGAGTCGATCCCCCCACATGCCATCCCCCCGCACCAGCAACAGCAACAGCAACAGCCAGACGGCAACGCAGGACTGGGCTTCGAACCTAACGCTCTCGGCTTGGAGGGTTGGAACTTTGCGCTCGACATGAGCGCCGACCTGTCCAACAACACCGCCTGGAGTGGCGACAATTCCTTTTCCATCGAGTCGATCCCCGCGCCCAAAACGCCCGAGGGCGAGTTGAGGATCAACATGCCCCACAACCACCAACACAAGCCAGAGTTCTGGATGCAGAACCAGTGGAATCCATCCCAGCATCAGTCGCAGTAATCCCTTTGAACCAGCTTTCACATTCGATACCCCCCTCCGCCCCGGATCCCTGTTTTTTGCTTGCTCGCACAGTTTCAGCTTCATGCACCCCGTTCCCACGCAGCTTTATGCTCAATGCCATGTCCACATTTCTGCACGCAAGAAACGAAGGGAGAAAGGCGAGTGTGTGGTTGCGGATCAGCTCCAAGCCGATCGCAACTGGTGCATGCGTTCGGCAACCTCTCGCCACGGATCGCTGCTCTGGCCGAGGTCGAAGACGCGCATGCCGTTGGGTGCGTTGCGGCCATCGGGGGCGGCACGTCTGAGCTCAGCGACGACGTGCGCGCCGCCACCCTCGCTGGCCGATGCAGGGTCGAGGCTGGCGAATACCACGAGCGCGGTGCGGGTGATCTTGGCGAGTTCCGTCGCCGTCGCCGGCTCGCGCGAGCCCGGAAGTGCGAGGTCGAGGTGGCAGTCGCATGCGAGCGCGCGTGCGAGCGCAAACCTCGCCCCGCCCTGCGAGTACTCGAGCACCCGGCGTGCATCGAAATCCGGAATCGCCCCCAGAGACGTCGTCAGCGCCTGGATCGATGCGGTCAGATCCGCAGATGAGCCAGGCACGATGAGGTGCACGATGAACTCGGGTGCGAGCGCGCCCAGCAGCGTACGCAGCGATGAGATCGACGCTGCATCGCGCGTGAAGCTCGATGACAGACTCAGCGACAGACTCGGTCGCGGACTGCGGGAAGAAGAAGGTCGCGGGGACGAGCGGCGCTCCGCTACATCGTCATCGTCTTTGCCCGAAGAGGACGAGAGATAGGTGTAGAGAAGGTAGGCGAGCGATGCGGCGGATACCACTCCACCCGCAACGGCTAGCGGAGTGTACCGCGACCGACCCTTGCCTGGCTGTCCTCCAGCATGCGTTCTGACCCCAGTCTCGGTTGAAGCCTTGCCGAGAAGACGCTGTCGCACATGCAGACCAGTGTACGAATGCGAAGGCGTCGGCTTGACAGCACTACGCTTCTCCCACTCGTCCCAGTCGACACTCGTGGCGGCTGTATCGCGCGTCCAGCTCGCACCCACCGCAGCGTACACCTGCGTCACTGCACGGCGGCGCATCTCGGGCCTGAGCAGCATCACCAGCGCTGCGGCACCGAGCATCTTTTGTGCGACGCTCACGAGCGCCTTTCCGCGCGCGCCAGCTTGTGCCGAGTCGCGCTTGGTGCCTGCCTGGCTCGGCGGGAGCGCGCTGAGCCTGCTCGCATCGAGCTTGCGCCAAAAGTCGTCGCCTTCGGCGTTGTGTGCGCCGACGGCCAACGTGCGTGCCACCTCGCGCCATACGAGCGAGAGACGCCAGCGCAGCCGCCGGTGAAACGCGAGGATGCGCAGCACAAACAGGTATGTGAGCGTGCGCAGCAGATCGCGCTTGCGTCGACGCTGGTGCAGATGCTGCGGCGTTGCGCTGCGGTCGAGCCGGAAGGTGGGCGCACCGGGTGTGAAGGCCGGATAGCCAAAGAAGGGATTGTTGGCATTGTACGGCGATACGAGACCGTCGCGTGCCGAGCGGCGTGTGCGGTGCGAGAGGAACGTGTGCGGCACATGCTGCAGCGGCGGCTCGTCCAGATGCTCCACCTGCAGCCGCGGCGACGCCGGCTCGATGTACATCACCGTACCATCGCCGTCTTTGCCCTCACCTTCGCCTTCGTGATCGTCGCCGTGGTCGTGTTGCGGCTGCTTGCCCTTGGTAAAGCGCGTCTCGCTCAGGCGGCGCAGACGATGCAACAGCCCGCCCGAGGCTTGGGCGTCGACGGGCGCCACCTCGCCATCCTTGCCGCTGGCATCGCTGTCCTCGCTCTCGGACGGCAGCACCGCCTCTTCGTCGTTCGGCAGGTAGAGCGTAAAGCTCGCGGTGCCACCCACACGGCGTTGGGGCGAAGCGGAGCGGTCGCGGGCGCGGTCGCTGGAGAAGCGCACGTGGCGGTCCGCACGGCTGCGCACCAGACGCGGACTGGCGACGGGCGTCATCATGGGCGTGACGAACGGCGAGGTGGCCGTATTGACGCTGAGCCCCACGGCGCGGCCGTCGATGATGCGCGTGTCGGATGCCGAGCCGGAGCGCGACCTGCCCGCTGCGCGGACGCTGGGGTCGTGGGCGTGCTCTGCGGCATTCGAGAGGTCGCCGCGCGACATCTGGAGGTGGCGGAGCTTGCGTGCGGCGCTGGGCGTCATGCTGAGGCTGTGCTTGGCGCGTGCATCGCCACGCGGCGTCGAGGGCTCGCTGTGGCGCGGTGTCATGGATCGGCTCGCCCAGGGCGTCGAGTCGGCGCTGTAGAAGACCTCGTAGATGCTCTCGTACGAGCTGGTGCGGCTCAGATGCTTGCCCATGCCGGGGCTCTGGGGCGGCGAGCTGAGCGAGGCGGACGACACTCGGCGCGGACGGCCGTACTTGCGCAGTACATCGTTGGTGGCCGCCTCGACCTGGACGTCGAGCTGACCGCCGTAGCAGGCGGGGATGCAGCGCGGCTCAAAGTGGTCCTCGAGCTCGGCGTAGGAGGGGAAGAAGATCTTGGCCAGCGCCTGCTGCGGGAGTACGCGCTTGATGACGGCCCACATACCGGCGTGCACCCAGCCGTAGTTGAGCACATAGACGGCGCCGACCATGCCGGGCACGTGGTTCTTGAGCAGGTCGAGCAGGAAGGGGAGCAGCTCCAGCTCGAGGTTCGCCATGCCGCTCGAGGCCAGGTCGACGGCGATGCTGGCCTGGAGCACGGTGTGCGTGTTGGAGTCGGCGTTGGTGGAGCGGTAGAGGTCGGCGACGTAGCGACGCATCATCTCCATGCACGCAACGATGTACTCCTTGAGCTGGTCGAGCGTGTTTTCGGCGGTGCGCTCGACGGAGCGCAGATTGATGATGCCGCACGGTCTGCCGTACAAGTCACGAAAGCCGGAGTTGACCCAGAAGAGCGGCGGGTTGGGCGCGGGTGGCGTGACGTAGAGCGGATTGAGTGAGGCGAGGGAGAGCAGGTCGAGGTCGGTACGCATGCGCCAGAGGATGGTGGCGGTGAGCAGCGTGATGGCCTGGTCGTTGTCGTAGCGCGAGCGGCGATAGAAGCGGAAGATGTTGGCAAAGTCGGCGAGGTAGGCGAGGACGCGCGCCTTGCCCTCGTCGTTGAGCTGGAGCTGGTGCGTCACATCGTCGAGGATCTGCGAGCGTGCGGTTGCGAGCAGCTGTTCGACCTGCGGCAGGTGGGTCTTGTACTTGGCGGTGAGGTCGAGGTGCTTTTCCTGGACGGCGCGCGCATCCTTGGACTGTACGTCTACCGCGGACGGCATGATGGCAAGCAAGCACCTCTCGCAGTGAGCAGCGTGGAGAGGATGGTGGTGATGACGAGGAGAGCGAGCGAGAGAGAGAAAGAGTGTGAGTGCCGATCCGAGAGTGTGGGGACAGAGCGACTCGCCTGACCGGCGTGAAAGCAGAGCGGTGCCGGTCGAAACAGCGCGGCGCCTCGGCTCTCACCATAAATGACCGAATGCGACGATTTTATCCGCCGCAATCGAGCCGCCATCGCCCGATTCGATCGCCGATGTGAACCCCCCGGCAATCCATTTCGGCGCTCTTCTCACCGGCAAAGCGTTGTTCCTTCTTGTGGGCTCGCACGGGCAACTTCGTCCTCCTACCTTGCCACCATCTCTCAACCACGCTATAATCGACGCAAGCATGACGTCGTCTTCGCTCGACTTTGGCCTCAAAGGCGTACACGTGCTCGTCTCCGGTGCCTCGGGAGGTAAGTCTTTGCGTCAACCAACGATTTTAGCCCAGTGCATCATTCTGACCCCCTTGTGTTGTTTGTCTAGGCATCGGATTCGAGACGGCCAGGACGTTTGTCGAGGCGGGCGCCAAAGTGACGGCGCACTACAATACGACGCCGCGCGGGCTGGCTGATCTGGCCGGCGTGGTGGCGCTCCAGGCAGACGTGACGAGTGAAACCGACGTAGCTCGACTGTTCACGCAGGCCGAGGCTGCCCAAGGTGTTGCGGTTCAGGTGCTGGTGGTCAATCATGGAATTTGGCCCGTAGCCCCCGTCGCCCTCTCGGACATGTCGCTGGAGCAATGGCGCAACACGCATGCTGTCAACCTCGACGGAGCGTTTTTGCTGGTGCGGTCGTATCTGGCGAACCTCAAGAACAAGCCGAGCAGCGTGCTGGATGCAGCCTCGGTGTGCTTCATCGGGAGCACGGCGGGCAAGTTCGGCGAACACGATCATGCCGACTACGCATCGACAAAGGCGGCACTCATGTATGGGCTGGTGCCAAGCCTCAAGAACGAAATCGTCCGTATCGCTCCCAAGGCAAGAGTCAACTCGGTCAACCCCGGTTGGGTGCGTACTCCAATGGCAGAGGAAACCATCAAGGACGACAAGGTCAGAGCAAGGGCTCTCGCTAGCACCCCACTTCAAAAGGTCGCCTTGCCCCAAGACATTGCCAGACAGGTCGTCGTGCTCTCCAGCCCGACCCTCAGCGGTCATGTCACCGGCGTCAATCTGCAGGTGGATGGCGGCATGGAGGGAAGATGCCTCTACCCGCCGCCCAACTAAACCCTGAATCCAGAAACTGGCACACACGCATGGCATCGTGAATTCAAAACCCCATTTCATGCTTGCACTGTGTGTGCAAAGAAGCCGTGAGAGATGCGAGGCTAGTCCAGCGCAGGCGGGGTGGTATGGGACTCCACCTTGTCCGGTGTCTTGTCCGAACTTTTGGCAAACACGAAGAGGACCCGACCCGTCTGCATAGCGTCCAATCGGAACCCCTCTCCACCGTCCGTTTGCTGCTCTCCCATACCGTCTTCGTCCCGTTCGCTGTCATCGCTTCCGAGGAACAGGTCGTCTGCACGCTCCGCCATGCTCGTGCTCCACTCGTCCTCGCTCTTTTCCGCACCATTCGCGCGCACGCTCGATCTCGACGCACGAACAAGCGCAGCCACCATCTCGTCCTCCTCAAACGACTCGGGATGCTGCACGCAGTCGTAGTGCGCCCACTTGTACAGCGCCAGCAGCCTCTTGCGCTTGTCCAGCTTGTCCTTCTGTGCGCGGTCCACCACGTGCTGCGATGCCGCCACAAAGCCGGGCAGGTCGTCGTCGCTGCTCGCCACACTCGTCTGACTAGCATCCATGCCCTCTGCCAGCCCGTCCAACGACGCATCGCCGCCCCTGCGATCGCAGTCGCACACCAGCTGCCGATGGCTGATGCACGGCGAGTCGAGATGCAGCGTAAAGATGTCGCGCAGCTCTTCCTGCGAAAAGGTGTCGGACGACGACTTGTCGCCCTTGATGAGCGAGTCGGTCAGGCCGAGCTTGGAGATCTGGCGCTGGTAGATCTTTTCGTCCATCGTGCCGGACAGCAGCAGCCGGTAGATGTAGCAGACCTTCTTCTGGCCGTCCCTGTGGATGCGCGCCATGGCCTGCAGATCCGTCGACGGATTCCAGTCCGAATCGATCAATACCAGCCGATTCGCTCCAATCAGGTTGAGCCCCACACCGCCGCTCTTGGCAGACAGCAGAAAGACAAACGAGCTGTCGACGCCGTCGCGGTTGAACTGGTTCACCATGTCCATCCTCTCGTCCTGCGGCGTCTTTCCGTCGAGCCGCAGATACGAATAGCGCTTCTTGCGCATCATCGCCTCGACGATATCGAGCGTCGAGGTGAAGTTGGACACCAGCACCACCTTGTCGTCCGTCTCGGCCCGCAGCTTTTCGAGCAGCTGCATGACGCATACGAGCTTGCCGCTGAACCTGGCGTCGTTGCGCACAAAGTTGGGCGGGAAGTAGCGCGCCATGTCGCCCACCAGCGCTTTGGTCGCCGAGGCACCGTCGGCTTCCGAATCTCGCAGCAGCAGCTCGGGCGTGTTGCAGAGCTTGCGCAGCACGCCGATCTGGAGCAGGCCGTTGCCAGCGTCGCCGCGCAGGAGCGAGCGCACGTCGTTGGACGCGAGGATGGACTGGTAGATGCGAATCTGCTCGGGACTGGGGCTGCAGAAGAGCACCATCTCCTTCTTGGGCGGCAGAAAGTTGCTGAGGATATCGGCGGTGCGGCGGAGGATAATGTCGTTGGTGATGGTCATGAGTGCACTGGCGCGTGCCTGTCCGGTGGCCTTGGTGTGCTTGGAGCAGTGCTGAGCGCGCGAGCGCATGATGGGCTCTTCAAAGATCTTTTTGAACGAGGCGTACGAGTTGAGCATCCCGGGCGCGACAAAGTCGATCATGGCGAAGAACTCGGAGAGGTCGTTCTGGATGGGCGTGC